GGCAGGTCAACCTGGCAATCCCTCAAGTTAGATGCACCTCTTATAAAACAGGCTTTACTCCTTATGAGATTGTGTTTAAAAGCCCTCCTCTTCTGCTCCCCAAAGCCAAAAGTGAGATGTTAGAGGAATTTTCTAACCAGTCTCTGTTAAAATACTTTCAGTCTCTTCAACAGGTGCAGGCTCCATGCCAGCATACACACTACCCTACCCTTACACAGCTCTGTGCCCTCCCACCCATTCCAGCTGGGAGACACTATGCTTGTCAAGGCCTTCCAGAAAGAGGGATTCACCCCAGCATGGAAGGGACCACACACTGTCATCCTTATCCTGCTTTTCCCTGGGCTCCTGATTGGGCCCTGTGTTCTTAATTCGATAAGTTTGTAAAACAGCATATAGCCTCTGTTAAACTGTTCTACATGAGAACCTATTATAATCCCCTACACACTCAGGAGGCTCAAGATGAGTCAATGCTTTGACATCATACTTAGAAGAGTTGGGAATGTGGTAGCCTACCTGACTGCATTTGTGTAAAGTCAAGTGATTCTGGGTGGTCGCCTCTCCCTTCCCATCTTGGGAGTCCCCTCAGTTAATGCATTACAGACTGGCTTATCCTGTTTGATAGAACAATCTGCAACTATGTTATCTTTACAACCTTGTAAACAGGATTCTCCTCACCTGTGTGATATTTTATTTCAACTAAACTGTGTGAAACTTCCACTGACCCCCACTAACTTAGCAAAGTTCTCCTGTGAAAGTTCTGCTTGTGCTCCCCCTCTCCCTGAGCCCTCCCCAATTAGAAGACCCACTTGAAAGAACCCTGCAAGCCACTTTTCCTGGTTGAGAGTTTTCTAGGCATGAGCTACTCTCTAATGCTGGCTGACAATAAAGGACTCAAATTTGGCTCAGAATGGTGGAGATTCTCTATAATCTCTCACAATTAAGTATAACAATCCTTACTTCCAGGAATGACTTCAGGAGTTCTACTTTCCTTTTGATTTCATTAAAGAGTTTGAGGAGTATTGGCACTAGATCTACTCTAAAGTTCTTGTAGAACTCAGCAGTGAACCCATCAGGACCTGGGCTTTTCTCAGTTGGTATTTTTAAAATTATTTCTTCAATTTCATTTACCAATATTGGATTATTTGGGATTTTCATATCTTCTTGGTTCAGCTTTGGTAGTTCAGATATACCTAAGAATCTATCCATTTCTTCAGAATATTCCATTTTATTAGAGTACCGTTTCTCAAAGTAGTTACCAATAATCTTCTGAACTTCAGCAGAATCTTTGTGATTTCTCCTTTTTCATTTTTAATTGTATGGTCTTAGGTCTTTTCTTTCTTTATTTTGGTAAGATTTCTAAAAATTTGTCTTTTGTTATTTCTTTCAAAGAATATTCCTTTGATTCACTGGGCTGAGGCTGAGGGGGTGGCAGGTATTGAACCTATCCAACACCCCAAGGTCACACTGGTCTTCTCTAGGTCTTTACTGTCAGGACAATAGCAGGGGACCTTCAGTGTAAGAGCTGGTAAACTGTGGCACTGTTCTTGGAGCCTGTGACCAGATATTTGTTATCAGCAAACACATCACAGCAGATCTCTGAAGACTCCTGTACCTGGAACAACCTTTGCATAGAAGGTGCTGCTAAGCCTCGGATTGTCTCAACCAGTGTGGTCACAAAGTACCTCCCACAGGATGCAAACTTGAGGTTGTGGAAGAAGGTGTATCTTTTGATGGTGACCTTGAACTTTTCCATCCAATGAGTATGTAGGATTATTATATTATTGTTTCTCATGCCCACCAAGAGCCATTCCTCAGTGGGGTCATGAGTGATGCTGAGGATCTCATTCTGTAAATTGTACTGGTGCCACCTTTGGTAGCTCCTCAGGTCCCAAGAGTACAGGATGGTGTCTTCACCTCCTGTCAAGAATTTATTGCCTGTGATGTCAACACAGCAGGACCCATAGGTGAGGACTTCATGTTTCCTGATAAAAATTTGGTTCTGCAAATCCCAGATCTCCACAAATTATTTGAAACAAGCCACAAAGATCTGGGCATCTGAGGAGATGGGCAGGGAATAGGACGTGGTGCCTGTAGATTCTTTGTATTGTTTTTCAGTTTCAATTTCATTAATATCTTCTCTGATCTTTATAACTTCTTTTGGTCATTAAGTTTATTGGTATATTTTAGGTATACAATACAGTTACATTCATCATTGGGATCTTTTACCTTTACATGATGTATCTTGGCTATTTTTTCCTCATTCCCCTGCCCTCCCTTCACCCCGTCCATCTGATCTTTATTTCTTTCCAGTATTAAATTTGAATTTGGATAGTTCTCATTTTTCTCACACCTTGATTTGCATCATGAGGTTATTTACTTGAGTTTGCTTTGTTTTTCTGATGTGGGAATTCACCATGCTAAGCTTCCCTCCTATGACTGCTTTCATTGTGTCCCAGGGGTTCAGTTGTGGGACTGCATAACTCTGTAATCATAAAACTCCCCTAGATCCAACTGTGATTGAATGTGAGTAAATAGATAAAGATGCTTGTTAGTTCTGGGACACTAGATAAGATCTGTATCAGCCATAAGGTCCCAAAGTAAATTACTCAACTCTTTGTTTGAAACTGATGTTCTGGACACTGCTATCTATAGAACAATCTACAAACATCTGCTGACCATCAGTACATGTCAGCTGACCACTAACCTTTGTTCCTCTTCTGTAAATTTTGCCTGTTAACTTCCCCTGCAACCCCCTATAAAAAGAGCCTCGGATTCTGGGCTAGTGGCCTCTCTAAGCTACTTTGCTTTGGGAGTGCCCTCTGGCCAGACTAAGGTCTGTTTTACTTTCCAACTTGTCTGGTGTGTTCCTTCCTGGGTGTTCTTCTCTGCAGTCAGCTCCTCGGAGCATTTGGTAAGGCCTTCAGTCTTACACAGTATGTCATACTAACATTATAGTTTGATTGTAGGAACTGTCTAATTTCTCCCTCAATTTCACCTGTGACCCACTGATTCTTCAAGAGAATATTGTTTAATTTCCATATGTTTGGATGGTTTCTGTAGTGTCTTTTATTTTGATGTCTAGTTTCATTGTACTATGATCTGATAATTTACATGGGATAATTTTGATTCTTTATCATTTTCTTAAGTATGCTTTATAGGATGTATGTGGTTTATTGAAGATAGGTAAGTTAATTAGGTATCTTGTAGGCAATTAGACAGGGTTATCCCACAAGGAGCCAACAAGGAGGACAGGGAAGACACATTCACTGAAGGCCAGCATTGTAAAAGGAGAGAAACTACTACACCCATGTAGGATGAATAGCAGTGATTGATATTCTAAACAGGTATCAATCACCTGGGTGGGATGCCAATGTCTTAACCCAGCATCTCCAGGAAATATCCCTGACCCACGCTTACTGAAAATCCTTGTACACTTGCTATGTGAGTTTCTCCCCCATTTGACCCCCATTTAATCAATTTAGCTGGGTGACTGGTTGTGGGAAAGGGTAGAATTCAGCTATCTAGTTGTAAGAATAGATCACAAGAAGTTTGTTAACTAAGAATTAAGTCCTTTCTGGGAAATTCCACAAGTCTGTTTGTTAAAAGAATGCCAGAAAACTTTGAGGCCTTGTAAAAGTCTGACAGGAGAAAAACAGGTTTTCCTAGTTTTCTTATTTACCATTTTCTGCAACCCAATGACTCTACAGGTGGTAAGAGAGATACGACTCACTACACACATCTGTGATGTTTATGGTGGGCTGGTGGGCTTGATTTTTGGCTAAAGTCATCCTGCTCTCCTGATACTATCTGATAAGAAGAGGGCTGCGTGTGTTCTTTGATGTATGGGATTGGTGAATGGAAACAGGGGACCTGTGAATTCTCCTGTAGCTTTTATGAGTCACTTAAAGTCACTGGTTATCATCAGAGGTTAAAATCAGAAAGACAATAGCCAGAATAACTAAGCTGCTTTCCTACATGTATAAAAGCCTTGCTTCTTTCCTTTGTGATTGTCCAATAGTGCCAGAGGAATTAAGCTGCTGTTCATCCCCCAGGCTTTCTCCTTTTCTTTCTTTAAAAGTCTGTGCTTTCCGGGGTTCCAGGTCTCCCTCACGAGAGACCTTTATTAAAAATAAAAATCAACAACTGGTAATCTTATTGGTTGGTCATGGTTTTGTCCTACCTCATGCCCACCTTGTAAATTTCCCTCAGGTCTTATAGTTTTGTCCCACTTTGTACCTGGATCATCACATGGCTTTGTTGTATAAAACATCTTTGAAAAGTGGGGTGGGAGGGCAAACCACTTTCTGGTCCTCCTTCTGAGTCTCTTAGACAGAAGCTTTCTTTCTCTCAATAAATTTTTTCTACTCTTAATCTCCATTGTTCCTAGAATTCATTCTTTGATTTTAGAGAACACGAACTCATGTTTCAGATATCTAGTATATTTGGGAGTTACATCTCTTTCCCCTATATCAGTCTGTTTTGGAGAAAGAATTATATGCTGTTTAGAAGACTGTGTATTCTGTTTATGTTGGATAGAACACTGTAGATATGTATTAAGTCCATTTGTTTGAATGTTTGGAAAACCTGTTGTTGATTTCTTTTGTCTACTTGATCTGTTCATTTGGATTGTGAGGTACTGAGGTTCTCCATTATGATTGTATTGGTGTTTATCTGATTTTTCTTCTCCACTGGTGCATATTTTATGAAGTTGGGCACATCAGTATTTGGTGGATAAATCTTTATAGTTATTTCTTCTTGCTGAATTATTCCCTTAAACAATATGTTTCTTTCTTTGCCTCTTCTTGTAGGGAACAGGGAAAGGGGATATTACTAGAACCTCTTCATTAAGTCCTAGTCTTCTGTGAGGCATGACAGCACAAGGCAAATTAATATATAGGCAGAAATGAGACTTAGAGAAGAAGCTGAGCTTTGGCCTGATCAATCCCGCTCAAGGCAGCAAAAACCTAAGACCCTGAGGTTGCCACACCTTTGTTCCGTACCTAAGGAGAAACAAAAGTAGCAGTTGACTCAGAGGGCAGTGGTGATAATCCTTGAACAATGAGGAACTATGCAGATGAATATTTGGTTCCTCTAAGATGTCACCAGCTGGTGTAATCCTGCCTGGAGCATCACTGCATCACTGGACCCTTGAGGTCTAGCTGTGACCTGAAGCAAAAACAGAGTTAAGTCTCCATATGCTGTAGCTGGACTGTAGACAGGAAAACTAGGCCCTAATCATGATTTCATTATGAAATGATTTTCACCAAAATCACATAGAATTTCTCCTGACATCTTCTGATCAATTTTAGCATGAAGTTCATTTCATAAAACATAAAACTAAAGTACTGTACTGTACAGAATAAGCAGCAAAAATTACACTTCTGTACTATAGAATGTATCATAAGGCCACACTGCCACTCATATTCCTGGGTCATAAATCCTACCTGTTTAGTTATTTCTTCTGTGATCCAGCTGAGAATTTCTTCGATTCACTTTTCTAACCTCCACTGTTATCCTTTCAAGTAATTTGTGTTTGTGACTTGTGCCATTCTCCCTCTCAGCTCCCTCTGGATTATCTTTGGAGGAGTTGGGAGTTTGGAGAGGCATTTTATACACTGGTTTTCTCATGTCTTTTTTGTTTAATTTTGTTTGTTCTGTGCTTAGGTTTGTGGATGCTTATAGTGTAAAGACTTTGTGGCTGGTATAGAGATCTCTGTAGATTGTAATTACAGTGCCTTCTTACATATTATAATGCAATTATAATAGACATTATGGTTTTAAATTGGAAGTTTTTAGACTTTTTTCATATTGAAGCATTAAAAGGAAACTTTGGTATTTTAAGAAAAGGATGACTAGATAGTAACAGTAGAAAGAGAAGAATATAGCCAAGAAATATTTTAAAGATGATAGGTCTCCCACTACCTCAGCACCTATTATGTATAGTAGCTGCCCTCTTCCTATTGTGCCTTGCCCCCTCCCCTGTGTGATGTCATGCCAAGATGGCTGCTCCCACCAAAGAATAAACCCTTCTTCCCAGCATGCCCCTGTTCCCACCTAGAAAGTAACCTAACTCTCGCTCACCTCCTAGCACCTAGTGACATCATTGGCTCCTCCATTTCCTAGTCACTACCTCACTCAACCCCACCTCAGCACCTACAAACCCCACCTCAGTCTCTATAAAAGACTCTCCCTGCCCTGGCCATATTGCTTTTGTCTCTTCTTTGTTCAGAGACAGCCTGGCAGATCTATTCCCCTAATAAAGGCTTGTTGTGGCCTGGTCTGGTCTTGGTTTTTGGCCCTTTTACTTGACATTTCTGGTCCCGTGACTCAGATGGTAGATGGTCCATTAATGGATGATCCCTGCAGGACAGGGTTGATTGACCTTTTGGCTATCTCCATTGGACGGGCCATATCTGCCATTGCCAGGACCCTCCGGGGCTTTCTACCTTTGCTATTGCTGACGCTACACATCTACACTGGTCACCAATGTCTGGGTGAGTAGGGAGTTCAGCCTCCCTCTCGTTGGGTTCTCTGTCTCATTCTCTCTCCCTCCGGGGACTTCTCAGAAATCCAAGCACTTGGTCAGAGAAACCCCCATGGCCACTGGGCCCAGGACTGTGCCCCTGGGAAACGTCCCATGGGCCCACCTCCTCTTGTTCTCTCCCTCTGGGACACTCACTCGGAGACTGTCAAAGGAGACAAGGATGCTTCTCCCCTTTGTCCTTCTCCCCGGGAGCTGCCTCCTCCTCACCTGCTCTAACAAGGGGGCCCAACAATCCAAATCCTGCCCCTCAATGCCTCCCAGCTGCCTTCTGGCACAACTCAAACTCCTCAGATTGTTGGGACCAGAATTTAAGCCAAAAAGACTTGTTTTCTATTGTAATCAGGTTTGGCCTCAGTATAAATTAGATAATGGGTTTCCGTGACCTAAAAATGGCACTTTCAATTTTAACATACTGTGTGATTTATACAACTTCCATCAATGCATTGGCAAATGGTCAGAAATCCCCTACATGCAAGCCTTTTTCTACCTATGCTCTTGACCCTCCCTCTGTCAAACTTGTTCTCCTTCTCAAGTACTCCTAGCCTGAGCCAATCACTCACCACCCATACCTCCCCAACTTTATAACTCTGTTGATAGGAAAAAGTTTCAAAGTTTAGTAGATTAGCTATTAAAGTAGTTGTGGAAGCAAACTAGGTAGTGTATCCCTTTAAAAACTTGCCTTAGCCCATTGCTTCTGCTGTTTAAAGTGAAGGTTATATAGCTTCTTTGATTTGTAGCTCCACTATAGATAACACACTAGCTCTAAAGAACAAAGTGGGAATCCTTGAACAAACTTGTGATATATGTGCCTTAACTGTCATGTGTTTAGGGCTGTAATCAGTGACAGAAACCACCTGTGTCTAACCATTAAATAGTAATTGGAACTTTATTTACTTAACAAAGACCACTAGGGATGAGATAATAACTGACAAATGTATAAAATGTCTATAGTAAGTCGGAGACAAAATATTTAAAAAGCTATAAGTAAAAGATATATTTTTGATATAAAAGGATTTTATATGTTTGTCTTGTTAACACAACCTAGGTACATCAAGAAGGTATGTGGAAGTGATTTATAAAGGAAATATATATGTTTACTTGTTGGTTTCAAGTTTGTTATAAAAGGTTTACAGGAATAGAGATTTCATTCCTTCTGATTTTAATTCTACAAGAGATCTCTGTTAATTGACTTACAAAAAGTTTTAAATAGTCTTGTTTATAATTATAAACCTAAAATTATAAAGAGATTATAATTGCACTGGGCTAAATATATTTGAGTACACTCTAGTTTTAGTAATTGTCTTATATCTTTGTTTTTTGTCCAATC